GACTTTCAGGAGTTAATTCACTTGCCCAAGACAAACACAGCTGTGGGTGAGCTAAGACTCTTTCAGGCCAACAAAGCCCATGAAATTTCGCCTGCACCACGACGCATCACAAAGCATAAAGATGGTAAACACTAAAACACTTTAAGAGACTATTATTATAAATGCACCTTAGTACATTAGCACTTTACAAAAATATAGAATTATACTGCACATTCCTGTTTTACACTACATAAAGCAGATAAAAAAGACAAGACTTCAATCATTAGAAAGGCATAAACACCACCTTTAAATTGTAATTCTTACAAACTGTCCCCCTCAAAAGTAAGAACGTAAGCTGAATCTTAAGCCTAAATATTTTTCTTAGTGGTTTTGGGGCTGGGGTAGCTCGGTGAAAGAGTGCTTGCTTAGCATATGCTAAGCCCTGGGTTTTATCCCCAGCAAGGAGAAAAAGGGGGAAAAAAAAAAAAAGTATTTTCATTAGAAGAGTATCACTACCCAGGGGCAAAAGTACCCTCTGCTGAATGGGGAGCCAAACATCAACAAAGATGTTGCAACATTTAATACCAAATGTCCAAACCAACTACAAAATGTCTCAGAAACAAAATGGTGAGGCTAGAAATAATGACACCACTATAATTTCATCTTGAAGGAAGTAGTGTTTTCAAAATATTCTGCTCAAATATAAACTTATAGAACCATTTCAAATCAAAGAAAGGAGGGAGAATGTGATGAGAAGGAAAACATACATCCCCTAACCAAGTACTACTATTATTACTCATTAAGAGTGTGTGTGGGGGCTGGGGATGTGGCTCAAGCAGTAGCGGGCTCGCCTGCCATGCGTGCGGCCTGGGTTCGATCCTCAGCACCACATACAAATAAAGATGTTGTGTCTGCCGAAAATTAAAAAATAAATATTTAAAAAAAAAAAAAAAAAGAGTGTGTGTGGGCTGGGGATGTGGCTCAAGCGGTAGCGCACTCTCCTGGCATGCGTGCGGCCCGGGTTCAATCCTCAGCACCACATACAAACAAAGATGTTGTGTCCGCCGAAAATATTTAATATTTAAAAAATTAATATTAAAATTCTCTCTCTTTAAAAAAAAAAAGAGTGTGTGTGTGTGTGTGAGTGAGATAGAGTGTGTGAGAGTGTGTGTCTGCCTAAGTGTTAAGTTTGATTGTCATTATTCTGTAGACTTACCTAGATAATTATCAAAGACTGCTTCATGTCCTGCCGTGTAGATATAAAGAAAAGCATCCAAGTCTTTCTTATCCAAAACCTAAGGTTTAAACCTCTGCTGGGTTTTCCTTATCAGGAAATATGGGTAAGAATCCTTCAGATTCAAAAATGTTAGGACTCTCTAAAAACACAGTCAGAAGTAAATCAAAATGGAAAAATTCAAATGTCTATATTTGCAAAGTTCACCATGTAATTTCATTACACATAGCTGAGCCAAGTCATTCCCTACATATTTATACAGAACTACATGCTGCTGCTACTGTCTACAGAAAATAACAATAATGCAAAATTCAAAACCCCTCCTATTAGAAAAGGGCAAAATAGAAAACTTTTCCTTCACTTTATGTTATGGTACTGCCAGGAAACATACTTAAGATGCTAAGAATTAATGTTGTATCATAAGTCTGTCAGTCAAACAATGTGATGCATATAATAAACATACAAACAATAATACAGACAAATCAAGTGATTATTAATGAATATTTAATATTTCTGAATTTCAAAAATTACATATTAAAAACAATTATTATGCTTATACAATTTTCATATTCAAACACTCCTGAAATTAAAGAGCTTGACATGTGTCCTTTACTTCATTCTTTAAAGCAATTCATAAAATACAAATGCAATTTTATTGTACCCCAAATAAAGTTAACTCAAACCTTCTAATTTAGTGGAAGAAATATTACAGAAAATGAAATCAATTATCTATTGCTTAGCATGAATATGCAATTTATTCTGGTCTTTGCTAAGATATTGCCAAAAAAAATAAATCTTGGAAAACAAACTTTCTATACTATATAAAATTAATTCCAAAAAGAACACAAAACACAAATAAGTGAATCCACTATAAGGAAAACAAAGGTCATTTAACAACTTTTACATACACTATAAAAATTAAGAGCAAATACAAATTTCCAAAGTCTATACCTAATTGTACTTCTTTACCTTTTTATAGATGGATATGGAAATCTAATTTGTGGAATATTTTCCAGAATATTTACCCAGAACATACTTTCTACACAATAATCATTTTTAATCAGTCTAGAACTATGTTTGTGGGTGTCTAGTCCTGTTGTTTTCTAATTCTCCAATGCTGGCAAAATATATAAATTCACAAAAAATATTATTCTTGGAAAGAAGAGTTCTCAGAAAACTTTTAATACTACCAGACTTTGCTTTTGAAACTGAGAAAAAGATACATATACAGACAATAGCATGTGAAAAAATATGTTCAATACTATTAATCATTAGGTAAACACAAATCAAAAGCACAATGAAATGCCACTTTGCATCCCATTTTTAGGAAAAAATAAAAAACAGAAAATAACAAGTGTTAGTGAGAGGATGTGGAGAAATAAAACCCTTGTGCATTGCTGATGAGAATGAAAAATGGTGCAGCTGTTCTGGAAAACCGTAAGGCAATTCCTCAAAAAATTAAACATGATCCAGCAGTTCTATTTCTAAGTATGTTCCCAAAACAAATAAAAGCAGGAACTTGAACAGATATTTCTACAACCATGTTCACAGTAGCATTATTCATAACAGCCAAAAAGGTGAAACCAACCTAAATGTCCACCAATGAAGAAATGGGTAAACAAATAGGGGATATATACATATACTGAAATATTAGTCAGCCTTAAAAAAATAAAATAAAATTCTAGCCAAGCCTCATGGTGTAACACCTATAATCCCAGGGAAATTTCCTGCTGAGGCAGGAAAATCACAAGTTCAAGAACTTCCTCAGCAACTTATCGAGGCCCTACACAACCTAGTGAGATCCTGTCTCAAAATAAAAAATAAAAAGGACTGGGAATGTAGCTCAGAGGTAAAGTGCCCCCAGGTTCAATCCCTAGTACCAAAAATAGTAATGATAATAATAATAAAATTCTGACATATGCTGCAGCATGAGTAAACCTTGAGAACATTATGCTAAGTGAATTACGCCAGTCACCAAAGGACAAATATTGCATGACTCCACTCAGAGGAGGTACCTAGAGTAGTGAAGTGGTTGCCAAGAGCTAGGAGTTAGGGGAAAACAATTTAGTGTTTACTGGGTAAAAGAGTTTCAGTTGGGGAAGATGAAAAGGTTCTGAAAATGGATGGTGGTAATGGTTACACAACAAGATTAGTATAGTCAATGCCACTGAACTGCAAACTTAAAAATGGTTAAAATAGTACATTTTAGATTATATTTTACACAATTTAAAAAAAGGGATAACAGAGTATTAATACATGTCCAAGTTTTTCTCATGCATGTCTCTTTCACTTCCCATAAAACCAACACCTTAGCTATAAGTGGTCAGTTACATTCTAACTTACAAGTTTACCATGAGCCCTGAGAAATTAATATAATAATTAAGTTTTAAAATTACTTCTCCTCCTAAGTTTAATCTAGGCTTCCGAAAAATAAACCTTCACCAGATCTAGATGACCATAGCTATTACATGTCTACTTCAGATTCAGTGTTACTATAGAATGCAATGTGTCTCCCAACTGTGAATTTCAAACATGGGTGGTTTTTTTAATATTTATTTTTTAGTTGTAGTTGGACACAATATCTTTATTTTATTTATTTTTATGTGGTGCTAAGGATTGAACCCAGGGCTTGCACATGCTAGGTGAGTGCTCTGCCACTGAGCCACAACCCCAGCCCCAAACATGGTGGTTTTATCCCAGAATTTCTCCTTAATTTTCCTTCTGAAACCTCATACAAACTATTGTCATTCTGGCCACCAAAATCTTTATAGGCAAAAGCATTCTAAATGATAGATAAATCGTCTTTACAATATTAGTATTTATTTAGTTTCCACTGACTACAAACATAAAAACAGAAGTTTAAAAAAAAATAAAAAATTAAAAAAAAATTTTTTTTAAAAATAAAAAAATAAAAACAGAAGTTTGAAATATCCTAAACAGTGAGGATTCTTTCCAGTCACATTCCAGTTTTTCTTATAATACCATCTGAAAACAAATGTGCATTAATTAACTAGTAATTGTCTGATTTCCTCTGAACTACCAAGTCCATTGTGTTTTTCATGTTCCCTTCCTCCCCACTCAAGTACTCAGCAGACAAAATTCCATCTTCAAAGATAGATTCTAAGAGTTTCCACATTATAACAGCCATTGTTCTAATCATTTCAAGTAATGTCTATTCATAAACATGAGGCAAATAGATGAAAATTTAAAGGGACAAACAGTATCCATATACTAAAACAAAAGTTCAAAGGTCTAATTTAGAAAAATAACAGTTCTTAATGGACTCCAAAAAAAACTATTAGGCAAGTATGATCATCATATACTTTGTCTATTTTTACTCTCGGAAAACAAGAATGTATTACTCAATTATAAATTTGGCTTTTAAAAATAGATTTTTTTCAAAACCATTTCATATAAATTATCATCTCCTTTACTTCCTAAGACAGCACAGTTTGTAGTTGTCATTGTATATAGTGCATCCACCTAAATGTTAGCAAAAGAAAAAAAAAAACCACAGACTCTGCCATTTAGTTTTTTAACTTAGTGTGATGAGAGTCTCCACATAAGTTTCTTTTCATTTGTCCACAGATATTTAGATTGAATTGAGCTCTTTAAAAATGAAAATAGGTATACTTGGTCAACTACAGGTAACTTTGATATATCTGAGGCCACCTATCCTTTCAACTTGCAACACAGAATTTTAACAGATATGAAACTGTACAAAAAAAGGAAATTATATAGATACAAAAGATTCATTGAAAAAGAATCACCTGGTCACAAGCCTTACCTTTTAGCAGCGGCAGAGGTGTTAATTCAATAGGCTTGCCTTGAGACCTAAACTGTGAGGAACTTTGTGACCTCTTCTGTCTGGCTTTTCTGACGGACTTCCGAGAAAATCCGTCTACTTTATCCACTGATGGAGGAGTAGTTGGTGCTGAGGACATATCCCTACTGAAAAGAAAGAGGTATCATAAACATATTCCCAAGGTGGAAGCATACATGTGAGTTACACAAATTCTAAAATTCTCACATATAATAATCATGAAAATAAGAATGTGTGCTAAAGTAAGTAAATAAGCCAGACATGGTGAGGCATGCCTATAATCCCAGCAACTGGTAAAACTGAGGCAGGAGGATCACAAGTTCAAGGTAAGCCTCAGCAACTCAGCAGGGCCCTAAGCAACTTAGCAAAATCCTGTCTCAAAATAAAAAATAAAAAGGGTTGGTATAACTCAGTGGTAAAGCATCTCTGGGTTTAAACCCCAGTACCATTTAAAAAAAAAAAAGTAAATTAATTAATTAAAGAAAGTCTTAGGAAGATGAGAAAACATAAGAATTCGATGAAAAAAGATTACTATCATGTAAACAATATCATAACCCAAATGCTTTTACTACTTCACTCAAAGAAAGCTCTTCATCTGATTCTTGTAATTTTGGAGTTATTCTGCAGCTGAAAAATCCCCACAGGTATATTTTCCTAACATATTTAATACTATGAATAGACTCTGGGGCTGAAACCCTTACTGTACTTCAAGAATTTACACCAATGTATCACAGCAAGGTGCATTTACAATTACTGAAACTAAGCATGACTTGTAATACAATGTGCAGTGTTTGCTATGATAAACCACTACACTGCAAATGAGGACAGACTAGATTTCTTTAAACACACAAAAGGCATAATTAAAATCATTTTAAAGAAGTCTTCTTTTTGAATGAATCCATCTTAAGTTATTAAAGCATAATGATCAAAACCACTAGAAACCACACACCAAGGTGAACTGAAAACATAACTTCACTATCTTCTTAGAAAACCAAGTTGAGTTCCCTTGAGGTTTAGACTTTGAAGTTCAAATATCAATTTCATTCCATCAAACTGATGGAACTGAGTAGTTCTTTTACTTTTTTAACCCTCTCAAATAATTAAAAATAAAGGCTATTGAAGGCTATTTCCTAAAAGTAATAAGCATTACACTCAATTTCATTCACCAAGTTAAACAGATGCCATCATCTCCGTGGCACTGAGGCTCCATGCAAGATTAATGGCAGACTTAGATAGAAATAAAGCATACAGGGGAAATACTGAAATGTAATTACTCATCTGTCATTCCAATGCATAAGACTTTTTTTTAACTTCTACATATGAGTATGGGAGTTTCTTCCTGAATGTGCAAGACTAAAAAGTTACCTGGATTACCTGCATTCTGGCAAAGTAAAAATAAAAGCATGGGGGGACACCTATGAGGTCAAGGTATTGAAATTTGAAGACTTCCTTGATAGTCTTTAGTTAGGAAATGTTTTTAAATGTACCTAACTTATCCTTAAACATAATGTGACATTCAAAATGGAACTGCAAACTATGAATAGTATAGAAAATGTATGCTCACTTTAAAATAAAAATGACTGCATCAGCAAAAAGCGACACATCACATTTGTATGTTGTAAATTTAAGGGTGGATTTTCCAATTTCGCAAGTGAATTATTTAGATTTCATTCTAACCCTAACACAAGACTTCTGTTAAATCCTGTTCCTCCATCACTCTATCTCTTCTTTAGTCTTCTCCCATCTCTAAGGACGATCTGAAGGTGGCTTTTTTTTTTTAATCATTTGCCAGTTAGGCCCGCAACCCAGTACAAACGTCAGGATATCAACCCTAAAAAGCCAAGCAGAATTGAATTTAGGGGAACAGCGGGTCCGTGCAAAGCCCAGGGAAACAGGTTTCACCTAAGCCAGGGCGCCTGAAGCTTTATCATCCTCTCAGCAGCGGGCGCGGGGCAGTTCCAAGGCTCAGGATAATCCCGCGGGGCGTGGGGGGGGGGGGGAGGTAGCTGTAGGGATGCTCACTTATACCCCAAGCCCTGGAAAAGATACGCTGCTACAGAATCCTCCTCACTACACCAAACCCCCCTTTTTCACCAACCCCGCCAGTGGATAAAGGGGAACAAGAAAACGCCTCCAATCTCAAAAGGTGGAGAAAAAGGGGTGAGGGAGGAAGAGTGAATGAGGTAGCCTCAGAAACATCTGCAGGTAAATCAGACAAGTGGGACCGGCGCTCCCTCTCCCGCACCCCACCCCACTGCACCCCTCGCCTGCCTGAGCCAGGCCTTCCCAAGTCCGGTGCCCTGCAGGTTCCCCAGGAGAACCGAGAGGAGGAACGGAAGCGGGCAAGCCGCGGTGTTGGAGGGACGAAGTTACCTTGAAGCTTCTGGGGAAGAATCCAAAGATGATCTGTGGTTTCGAGGGGCGGGAGAAGGGCGAAGGGGCCGCGGAGGGGGCGAGCGGTGGAACAGGGAGGTGCAGGGAGGAGGGAGGTCCGGGCAGCTGCGGGGAGCCCGGGGCGACGGCTGTCCGGTGCGGCGTCCCTCCGGTTCCGCGGTGGCGGCGCTTCTAGGCCTCAGGGCCGGACCCGAACCTCAGCGCTCCGGCGGCAGCGGCGGCGGCGGCGGCCTCACGATCCTCCCCCGCGGGCCCGTCCCATCAAATCGGCACCGACACCGTTGCGGCTCCGCCGGTGGCTCCTCGCTCACATTCCCGGCGGGCGGCGCCTCAGCTCGTAGCCCCGGACCCAGCGGCGGCGGCGGCGGCGGCGGCGGCGACGTGGGGAGGGGGGGAAGGGAGGGAGGAAGACTGGATCTGCAGCGGCAGCAGGCAGAGGAGTCGGGAGGAGGAGGAGGAGGAGCCGCTGAAGCAGGAGCCGCCGCTGCCAGAGCCGCCGTTCGCTACCCGCGGTGGGTCCCAGTCAATGCCCCTTTCTCTCTCTCCTATTGTCAATATCACCGGGCGGCTGGGTCCATGGCACACGCTCAACCGAACCTCTTAGCCAGCAGCACCCGCCTCCGACGCCCGCCCACTGGAGACTTCAAATGGGAAGCGAGACCTCATTGGCCGTCGTCTGCCTTCACTCCCCAGCCAGCATGTTCGGCTGAGAGCTGATCAGGGACTGGCGGCGGGGAGAGGCGGAGAAACAGGAGGGTGGGAAGAGAAGAGGCCGGGGATTGGTCCGAGGCGTGTGGGACCCGGATGCAGCCGCGAGCTCGGGCCGCGCGGCCGCAGCTTCCGCTAAGCGGCTGGGTGGGCTGAAGGGAAGAAAGTAGGGGGCCGAAACTTTGGCTGGGAGAAGCTCCGTAATTCCGGGAGGTGTGCGACTGGCACATCAGCAAGAGAGGCTCCGTGCAATGTGAGCCTTTGGACTGCTATCCTCTTCAACCGGAGGATTCCGAGGGCCGGGGTGGGCGAGACCCTGGGCCCTGAGTCCGCCCCGGTCAGTGACTAGCGTGTTCCCTCCGGGCTCGACTAGTCCCATTCAAGACTGAACCACACGCCGCATAGAAAGTAGTGATGTGCCCCGCCCGCGCTAGCGTGCCACTGCTAGTATAAATGGGTCCCTTGAAGCCCGCTGGGAAAAACCCCAGCCGCCTCTCTCCACAGAACCTTGTAGAAAGAAGGCCTGAGCCTGATACGGGAATTTAAACCCCCAGGGCCCGACCGAGGGTTGGGTAACGCTTTAATTTCTCTCTCACCTCATCTTTCCCTAAATGTCTGTTTTGAATATGGGCTCCCTGAAGCTCCTTGCAAGTCTCCATGGTGGCCAGGGTTCAGTTAAGGCAGAAGGGAACACCCGTCACCAGGCTCACCTCATTGGCCTGCTGGCTGCTTCAGCGTCGGAAAGACCCAACTGCAAACTTTTAATTGGCAAGTGGAGTTCCTAACAGTTTAACCAAGAAGACTTCACCTCTATCCAGAACACGTGATAAAATATTTACAAATGTGCTTGCATCTCTGGTGAACCCTAGGCCAAAATGGTGCATTTCCAGACAATGTTCTGGGATTGTCCATCTGTTTGAATGCATGCTACATACATTTTTTGAGGCAAAGAAAGAAAGAGATCCTAAATGCGAACTACAAACATCAAGCCGCCAATTGTTTGAAACTCGGACAGTGGGGGAAGGGCAGATAAAAAAATAAACATTCACAAATCCTCAACTCAAAGATAACCACTGTAAGCATTTTGGTGTACTCCCTTCTGGAATTTTCTTCCTTTTATGTTAACGTGTTGTTCTGTAGCATAATTTTCCCCTTCAGTATTATATCATGTTTTCTATACACTTAGGGAATGGAACTATATTATAAAGTTCTTTGTACCATATATACAAATGACAACCCCCCCCCAAAAAAAAAAAAAAAAAAAAAAAACACATTTGTGTTTCTCTTGTCGATCTAACACTCAATTGTTGCAAATTTATATGCCTGCTCCCAAAAATGACTCGGGTGGAAAAATGATTTTTGTATCATGAAAGATAAATATATTCCTGCTTTAAACTGAAATGGGAAATGCCAAAAGGTGAGTCTTAGATGGAAACCGGCTCCCCCTACTGTCTCCAGATGATTAGCCACTGTATAAACTTATGCCCATTTTTGCTCCAATAGTTATGGTTACCAGTAGGCCAGATGAAGTATAGAATACCACCAGCCTGTTTGCTACCTTCAAGAAACTTATATTTCCATACCTCAGTCTTCATGAAAGTTCGGTAACTCAGCCAAGCAGAACCTATTTCCTCAATCTCTGATTGAGGGTAAATGTAGAATTAAAACCAAGAAAGATTTTGAAGCCAACTCAATTTCCCTTGGCAACAGTTGAACCGTTAAAAAGTAGTGCATGTTTGAAATGCTCACAGCTGTTGCTTAGAACATTTCACATTTTGTAGAGTGAGGGTTTTGCTTGCAAATTATGGATCTCTATAAAGACAATTCATTTCAAAGTCATTTCATTTCTATAAAATGGCTGAGCAACTGAAATGAGCAGGGTTTTGGGGTTTGGGTTTTGTTTGTTTTTTTGTTTTGTTTTATTTTTTTGTTTTTTTTTTAATGGAAACATCCTTGCCTATGTGATAATTTGTTTTCTGAGCCAATAATTTCTTAAGGCAGTCCATGCATCCTAGGGGTGTGTATACTCCAAGGATAGTGCCAAGCAATCCATTTGGGACAGGAGAAAAAAAAAAAAAAAGAGGGAATCTACTTATGATTAATTTTGCTCTTTAAAAAAATAGCATTAAGCTCACCTAATATATACAGAACAAACATCTCTTCTCTTGGTCCATGAAATGGTCCCTTGGCAAGAGCAGCATAAGAGATGTCCTTAGGAAAAAGAGAGAGGTACTCATTCCCAGAGGCTGACAGTGGTGATCCAATCTAGTCAACCCCCATCAACCTGTTGTGATTTACTGCAGTTTTCTGGGTTAAATTAAGTGTATTTACTGATTAGATTATCTAGGTTTAATCTAATTAAACCCTCAAAACAGATAAATGACATTACAAGTGTCTTCTGCAAGGAAACCACAATGTATAACAAGTAAATGATAGAACTGAGGCTTTTAGTATCATTTGGCAGGCTGATCGGTACCAGGAATTCAACTCAGGGGTACTCAACCGCTGAGCTACATCCCAGCCCTATTTTGTATTTTTATTTAGAGACAGGGTCTCACTGAGTTGCTTATCACCTCGCTGTTGCTAATAAAAATTTTGTATTTTTATTTAGAGACAGGGTCTCACTGAGTTGCTTAGCACTCGCTGAGTCTTCCTGACTCAGCTTCCTAGGCTGCTGGGATTACAAGCGTGCACCATCACCCTGGCTTAGCATCAAATTTTTGACAGCCACATTTCAAAGTTAAAATGACAATCTAATAAATCCAACCAAATTTTGGCTAAATAATAACAAAATCATCAAAAAGACTATTTGAAATGTGAATTTACATCTACTATCATTAACAACGGCATCCTAAATATAACTATATCATGACTGTTATAAGCTATATGATGGTACCATATGTGTATTTTATGACCAAATATACATATACTTAGAAGAATATACCCACAAAAAATATACTGACAGGAATGCATGATTAAAAAGTTGTGAAAAAAAAAAGTTTGGTGACCTGTATTCTAGATTATATGAAAAGAAATATTTTATAACCATTTGGGAGAACAATATTGACAAAAAACAGTTTGTTGTTATAAAATGAAAATATTCACTTCCCAGATATGAAAGCTGAGCTTATTAATCTACTGGCCAGCTGGCCGTGTGATTAGAAGACACAGATAATCAAATGGTGGCTGACTGGTGAACTAAGGAAGGGCTAAGGTAATAAACAGAAGTAGCATCAAACCAATTATCAATGAGATACCATCTTCAGAGTTAGAGAAGCCCAAATTGGCTGTGTGGAAGGTAGGATTACATGAGGCTGGTTGTTGTAAAAATAATGAAAAAGCTGAGACAATGGCTGCTTTCTTTGGGGGAAAAAAAAAGAAATATATACACAACTAGTGTAAAAAAGGAATATTGGTATCTTGTTTCTTTGAGCCACATCTACCCACTAGGAAATACCTTCAGCAGCGAATTTCTTGGGTCACAATTTAAATATTACAGCTACATTTTTGGATGTACTTCAAGGTTGTAGCTTTTTCGTAGCTTTCTATGATTAACGTTCATAATTATTGCTTGAGATTTAAAATGCTTAGGTACTCCAGTTCTCTACTTAGCAATTTGAGCTGCAATTCAGAAATGACTATCAGAGGACCTTTGAATTGTTTTCAGGAGAGGACTCATGTCACCCACTAGGCAGGGAGAGCAGTCTTCTATCACTAAGAGTGAAGGAAAGTTGGGGGAATGGGAACAAGAAGAGAAAAACAACTTCAACAGTACTTTATTTCATACAGGATAAAATGATGTGCCAGAAACAATACTTTTGCTTGTAAAATAGTCAATTTACACAATTAAATGGCCTAATTATAAGCATTATGAGAAGAACACAGACTCTCAGATCAGAGGTTATCCAGCTCTGACAGGAGCTAGAGCAAATTATTCACTCCTCCCAAACTTGGTTTCCCCACCTGTAAATAAGTAAATTAGGACTGGGGTTGTAGCTCAGTGGTAGAGTGCTCACCTCTTATGTGGAGGGTACTGGGTTCGATCCTCAGCACCACATAAAAATAAAATAAAGGTATTGTGTCCATCTACAATTAAAAAAAATATATTTTAAAAAAATAAGCAAATTAACAGTTCCTAACTGATAGGATGGTTATCAGATTTAAATAATGTTATACATTTACTACAATACCTAGTATATGTCAACTGCTCAATAATTAGTTGTTGCCACAATCATCCATTTGCTTATTTTTAATACTCTTTATCCATTTTGAAATTTTTCCTTAAGCTTTCTTCCCCTGCCCCTCAAAATTTTATTCTGGCATATCTCCTGTAGCATGAAGAAAATAAGGAGCAAGGAAACCAGAGACATGCCTTTCGATCCACTTCCTCACTAAATGATAGAATATATGTAGGAGCATTCATTAGCAATAGCAGGGGGTTCATTTTACAATACTCATATATATTTCTGAAAGTAAAAAGAAATAGTTGACTTAACATCATTTCAGAGCTATATCTTCATTTCTAATTTATATTCCCTAAGAGACTAAAACTAGTTTTTTTTCTAAACTTACCTATTTTTCCTCCCCACCATAACTTCTAGAACTGCCCTAGGACTGAAGCTCTAGTTTCTATCCTAACCCTGTCTTTAATGATGGTCTAGCCATCATTAGTGTGATGATCATATGCTTCCCACACACCCCCTTTTCCCTTTAGGGACCACACTCTTGGTCACAAGGCTTCCCTCTTCCTTCCCCCCAGAGAAATGGGTACATGAGTCAAAGGAATCACCTGGACCTTCCTAAAGATTTACTGTTTACATGCTGAAAAAACAGACTGAGATCAGAGGTTATCCAGCTCTGACAGGAGCTAGGGCAAATTATTCACTCCTCCCAAGCTTGGTTTCCT